GGGGAGGCGGCGGGCTGGGGGTGGGGCCCTAAGGGGGCAGGGCCCGGGCTGCGGGGCCCCAGAGGCGTCAGCATCCTCCCCCACCTAAGGTCACCGCAGTAAACAAAGGCCACGCTCTGCTCCTCGCTCGCTCGGAGGGTCTGGTACTTACTGCCCCTCGCCCCTGCGGGGTGATCCTGGGTGTTTTGATGTGTGTGTGGGGGGGAGAAACGTCAAAACAATCCGAATGGAGCGTGGAGGTGGGGAGTGTCCCAGCCCGAAATGGGGAAATGACGGGCTGGCTTCTAAGGGTTCTTGTGGCTGTCTGAGCCTGCCCTTTTCCACAACGCTGTTTCCAGTTTAGCTGACCTGCCGAACGGATCGTCCACCTTACGCCAAAACAGGACTGAAGATGTCCCCTTTGAGCTCGGTCAGCTCCTGGCCCTTTGGCCGTGGGTCCTCAGTATATGTTGAGCATCTTAAGTTGACTACTGGACACTCGGATGTCAGTGGGGATGAAGCTTTGATTAATGCTGGCACAATCTTGTCCATGTGGAGAGGTTGGCAGAGCAGAGCAGAGGGAAGTGGTGTGAAAGTTCTCATCCCTTGACTCTCAGAATTCACAAGGTAGACTTGAAAATCCAGACTTAGGATTCGACTGCCCTGGGTTAGCTCAAACTTAACAGTGAAGACTGTGTGTGTGTGTGTGTGTGTGTGTGTGTTTGTGTGTGTGTGTGTGCGCATGTATGTAATTACAGGCTTGCTTAAACCCACTTGTTGGGAATTTTAAAATGAACATTTTTACCCCCGTGTCTCCTAGTGGAATTGTAAGTCATTCCAAAACCCCTGAACTTCTGGTGATGAGCATCCTGAAGATGGTTGCCTGTTAGAGGCAAACATGCTCTGCTGAGTAGCCCGGTCTTCTGCGTTTGTGTGGCAGTTGTACCTGTAGTGCAGAGTCAGGAAGAAGCAGTGCTTTGGGCCTTGCCTTTCAGGCTACCCAAGTTCAAGACCTTCCTACTGTGACTCCTAGGACCTTGACAGCTGGCAGTGTGGGGTGGACAACTGGCCTGTGTGGGTAGTTCATAGGTATTTATGGTCCCTGGTTAGCGTGTAAGGTAACCCTGCTCTGTGCCACCACACGAGTGCTTTGAACCTGTACTTCTTGCCATAGTGGCCTGATGAGTAAATATGTTTTAGAGATACTTGGGGTTTGCTTATTTAAATATTTATGATCAAGTAGTCAGCCAGATGCCTTCTCGGCAGTGTTTGGGAGTCAGAGTGCTGGGTAAATGGGAGATGTTTGGCTTATTTATAGAACAATAGATCTTGGCAGGATATAGGAGCTATACTGAAAAGGCAATCCATTAGCCACCCTTTCATGGGCACCAGAAAATAGGTATTCTGAAACTTTTTGTTCCCTGAGATTTTGCCAAGCAGTTTTGTACTTTGTGAAGATTGATCCTAACAACCAAATTGTGATGTGGAGTCACATGCCATTCAGAGAGGTAAACTCTTCTCTGGGAAGGGTGCAGGCTCTGTCTGGGGATGCAGCTTACTCAGTCACATCTTTTCAGACCTGCCTGGTTCCTGCAGCCTCATGTCCCAACCAGAGCAGTGGGACTTGAGGGAAGGGCTGAGAGGCTGCCTTGAACCAGTGCATACACATCCTGCCCAGGATCTTCTACAGGCATGTGGGTGGTGGCCCATCTGATCATGTGAGGTAACTTTTTCCAGGAGTTCCATTTTGATGACTTTTGATGTGAGGTGGATTGCTGGGATCCTAGGGGTCAGAGTCCCTGGCTTACCTGTCTATCATGGTGTGTGGGGTTTTCGGTTGTTGTGTTTTGTTTTAAGACAGGATCTCACCATGCAGCCCTGGCTGGCCTTAGACTCAGAGATCTGCCTGCCTCTGCTGTGTGCCACTGTGCTGGGGCCCGGTTGTGCCTCTTGTGTGGGATTAAATACTGCCAGGCCTTTTCTGTCAGCCTTGGCTCTAAGCCCTCATTACTTTCCTTCCAAGCTACACCCTTGGGGAACTGAAACATGAAAACGAGTGATTTGGAATAAGATAGAAAGGCAGGGTTCAAGAAAGATAACCTGAAGACCATGGGGGTGGATTGGCTTGTCCATACTGTAGTTTTCTATCATTAATTTGAGGAGCCAGTTGAACATGAGTGGAGTTGGATCCTCATCTTGACGTCTGACATTCATTCTAGTGCAAGTGTAATCGAAAACTTTCCTAACTGTTCTCATAAAACACTTTATTCTTCCAGCGGGGTTCTCTCTGTTTTAAGCCTGGCACTTTTAAGCCTGTTTTAAGCCTGGTTTCAGATTTCTTCCTGAGACTTTTGTGCTTTAAAATATGTTAAACTGTTTGTGGTCATAAGTCAGTAACCCTGTTCTCTTGCCTTCCATGGTGGCCTGCTTGCCTTGCCAGCAGGCAGGAGGAGAGTCTGTAGTGGCAATAGTGCCCTGCCAGGCTGTTATTCACGTCTCTAACACCACCTCTTCAGAAGGGAAGGAAGCAGTGTCTTGAGTCTATTTGATTGCCCAAGTTTTAGAAAGTCCATACCTGTAGATGACCACTGGGCAGGATGCATTTGCTGGTTTAAGCAGCCTCTGCCCTGTCTTATCTCTGGAGTGTGTTGCTCTGGCGCTGATATTTTTTTGAGGCATTGGGAATCAGTAGTAGCTCTTTTGCTTTTGCCGGTACTGTGTCCTTGGATAACAGTCATTTCTTTTTTAATTTTATGTGAATGAGTGTTTTGTCTGCATACTGTTACTGTGTGTATATGCAGTGCCCTTGGACGCCAGAATAGGGGGTCGGATCCTCTAGGACTGGAGTTACAGACTGTTCTGTGTAGCCAGTGCTCAACTGCTGAGCCATCTCTCCAGCCAAGCCCTTTCTTGATAATGTTTTTAAACAGAGTCCATACTCTGAAATTTACTTCGTTCTTAGCTCCATAGGGGTCAGGGTATCTTGGAAGAGTTTGTAGAGTGGGCTAGACTGGGGTCCAGGTTGTCCGGTGGTATGTAGGAAGCCAGGGTCTGTTCAGTTGGACAGTATAGGCCCAGCCTACAAAGTGCCAGATGCAGAAGAGTCAGGGCAAGCATAATCTACTGGTTTGGCCTGTTTTTCATCCTTATTTCTCTTCTGGAAGCAAGGAGTAAAGTCTAAGGACATGATTGGGGGGGGGGGAGGCCTCTTGCCCACTGTATAAATGTGTTCCTCACTCTTCATTTCCACTTTTCTGTGCCCCTCAGCTGCCTTTTGATGGACAGTGCCGTCAGATTTTGTTTCGTTTTTCGAGACGGGGTTTCTCTGTGTAACAGGCCTTGTTGTCTTGGAACTCACTCTGTAGACCAGGCTGGCCTCGAACTCACAGAGATCCACCTGCAAAGGCGTGTGCCATCACCACCCGGCAGTGCCGTCAGGTTTTATGATGTTCTTAAGCATCCCTTGGGAACTAAAACTCGGTAACATTTTCATCTTATTTTTCACCTCACAACCTTGACAGCTTCTGAACACTGGTGGGCCATGAGAGTGGGACTTCCAGTCTCACTATGACCTTCAACAGGAAAGATGTGTTTAAAAGAAATTGTGTATGTATGTGTATGTGATGTGCTTGCATGCATGTGTGTTTGCATGTTTGTGGTTGGGTGCATGTCTGTGTGGAGATACTCATGCATGTGGAAGCCAGAAGATGACACCATTGTCTTCAATCCCTTTCCTCTTTATCTATTGACGCAAGCACAACTCTACAGTTGTTAACCAGCTTGCTCCAGAAACCTAGTCTGTGCATCCTGAATGGGACAAGTAGATTGCCACACCTATCTGGTATTTACATACCTGCTGGGGACCCAGACTCTGGTCCTCATGCTTGGGTAGTATGTTATTTACTGATCCAGACATCAGAGAATTAAATTTACCCATGTTGGAGGAAAATTAAGGCTGCAGTCCTTGTGCCACCCAAAAATGAACTTGATACTCAGAAAGATTTCACATAGTTCTGACAGCTTAAATAAATACCTTGGGGTGGGGGCTGGAGAGATGGCTCAGAGGTTAAGCTCACTGCTGCTCTTCCAGAGATCCTGAGTTCAATTCCCAGCAACCACATGGTGGCTCACAACCATCTATAAAGAGTTTGCCAGAACACTGTATACTAAATAAATAAATAAATAAATAAATAAAATATTTTTTAAAAACTTTTAGGACAGATCTGGAACTGAGATAGTAATGGTGGGGCCGTACCTTGACCAGGTCTGCTTAATTATACCTACTTTTGCCCTATGTTTGAAGTCCCAGGAGGGTCCACCCTGGACTTAGCATTTCTGCTAGTATAGCAGCCCCACATGTTTGTAGATGTCATGTAATAAGAAACTAGGGCATCTTTGAACCTCAAGTCAGTACCTGAGTGATGGCCGGGGATGGGGGTGGGGGTCCCTGGATCCCTGTTCTGCCCAGTGTGGTTGCATTGAATAAACCTCCTTTCCTGTGTTTTAAAATTTGTCTTTTTAACTCGTCTGTTGGAGATGGGTGGCTAAACCTAGATGTTTGGGGCTACTGTGATCTTGACTTAGTCCCTAAATTGTGGTAGCATCATTGTAGTTTTAGAGTCCCCATCCTGCAGTGCCTTTACGCCATGGCTTGCTTCTGCCTTGGAAGTGTTGTTCTGATAATAGCAATGATACTCTGTGCCACTTGGCCCTCATTGCCCTGTGAGATGACCTTTGCCTTGATGTTAGGAGGTGGTTCCCCACTTCCTTGGTTTTCTTTTTTCTTTCTTTTTTTTCTTTTTTTCTCCTTGTTTTTTTGAGACAGGGTTTCTCTGTGGCTTTGGAGGCTGTCCTGGAACTAGCTCTTGTAGACCAGGCTGGTCTCGAACTCACAGAGATCCCCCTGCCTCTGCCTCCCGAGTGCTGGGACTAAAGGTGTGCACCTCCACCACCCAGCTCCCCACTTCCTTGTTAACAAGATTGTTTTAGGGTTTTGGGCTGGTGTTTTTTTCTTTTTTTTTTTTTTTTTTTTTTTTTTTTTCTTGAGACAGGGTTTCCCTGGCTGTCCTGGAACTTGGAATTGTAGACCAGGCTGGCCTCAAACTCACATAGTTGCCTGCCTCTGCCTCCCAAGTGCTGGGATTAAAGACATTTGCCACCACTGCCACCCAGCGCTTTTGTGTACACGCACCCTCCACCACCACCACTGGTGTGGGTGTGTGTGCGTGAGCACATGTGCGTGCTCTGGCTTTCCTGGAACTAGCTCTGTAGATTCACCTTTCTCTGCTTCCCCAGTGCTGGGATTAAAGGTGTGTGCACCACCACTACCCAGCCTAAGATGTATTTTTATGTTAAGTGTTTTGCCTGTTTACATGTCTGCCCCATGTAATGCAGTTTCTGAGGGGGACTGTATCAGATCCCCTGAACTAGAGTTAAAGCACAGTTGTGAGCTGCCATGTGGACACTGGGAAATAAACCCAGGTCCTCTGGAGCAGTGCTCTTAACTGCTGTCAGTTCAGACAAGGTAAATCTTGATTGGACAAGCATCTGGGCTTGTCATTGAGTGTTCCTTTGCTGTCCCTAGACAGAGTAGTCTTGTGGGTTAGATTCAAGTGATCCATCAACCTTTATGGACTGCTCAGCTTGAGGGACATAACTTAGTCTCCCTCCTTCCCTCCCATTATTTTTGTGTCATGTCCCCTGGAACTGGAGTTACAGATGGCTGTGAGCCCCCATTAATGTTGTCTATCTAAACATAATCCATCCTTTGCCTAGGAAGGGAGCCCTATCTTCAGTGACCCAGGATTGTTTAATTGCATATAGATATTGCTGCTGCTCTGGTAACACAACAAATGTTTGCGGGGGCGGGGGGGGGGGGGGGGGGGGGGGGGGGGGGGGGGGGGGGGAGGTGGTGAAGGTTGTTTTGGCTTTTTAAATTTTGTATTAGATTTGTGTGTGAGTTTGGAGTGTGAATGTATATGTACAAGTCAAGAGAACAACTTGAGGAGGTTCTCTACCTTTACCATGAGGTTCTAGGAGTTGAAATTACATTGTCAAGCTTGGCAGCAAGCACCCTTAAAGCTACTGAGCTGTCTTGCTGTTCCCCAAATAAATGTTTTTACCTGTCACTTCTGGTAGCATTTATCAGACATATGTATGGTAGAGAACCAGAGTGTAAATTTCAATCTTTGTAGTAGTACTAAATCACTACCAGAGTTCCAAGGTCCATCCATTCTCCTGTGTTTGGCCCAGTAGCAGTGTAAGTAAGGTCTGGACTAGACTAGCATGCTGGTGGGGCTCAGGAGATGCAGCCTGCGGGATGGTGGAACATAACTGCAGGGTTGCAAACCAGTCAGTCTCCATTGACACGCATAAGATAAACAGAAGTTGGAGCTGCTTAGTCCTTCCACCCAGAAGGTGAGGAAGTCTGTGGAGGAGGCCTTGTGCTGTTCTCATATGTTTGCCTGCCCTATGTCCATCTTCCCCTCTCCTGCTAATTATCAGACTCATTGCAACCCTCTTTATAGGTTCTGCGGGCTCTTCTTGACATGGTACATGGCATTGGCTCCATGAAAAGGTGTATAATTCACAGTTGTTAGTGGTCGTTTATTCCTGAGCCTGAGAGTATTCCATGGCTGATTGTCAAGGCACCAACTATAGTAGCCACAGAAGAGTAAAGCTAGAGGTATTTTCCACCTTCCTGAAGGTCCTCATTTAGTAGCCTGTTGGCCCAGGCTGTCTTGTCCCTGTGGACCTGCCAGCTGGCAAGGGTGGTATGCTGTCCCCAGAGACTACTGCTTTGGGGTGCAGGGAGTCACTGACGTAACTGTTGAAGTGAGTCACCATTCATCCTGGCTGGCAAGTTCAGCTGAGTCCAGATCCTTAAAAGAACTCAGAGGTCATTTTTCATCTGCAAGTACATTCTAGATGAAGTCACTTTTTGTGTAAATGCCCTGCATGTCAGCAAGAAGAGTAAGATAACATTGCTTATTGCTAGTATTCCAAAGAGTTTTTGTGGAATAGTAAGTGAAGTTCTTAAACCTAGAATGGTTACTAGCAACTATTGGGTTCAGTTATTCTTACAGATCTTCAGCATTGGAGATTAGCTTTGGGCCCAAATGATCTGGGAGCAGCCATCTGACAGACCAGAATGACTTGTCTCTATAGTTCATGGGTGGGCACTAGACACAGTTGTTAGCATTAGGTTGTCCCTATGCTTATAGGCCTTGCTCCACCTTCTGTCGGAGTGACTCATTAACCCTATGTTTCCTCGACTCCCTGTGAAACTCTTGCTGACCCCTCCCAGTTCAGTTGACAAGAGTAACTGAGTCACCACGAAGTAGTCAGGCTGTTCAGTCCACAACTTGTCTCCCTAGCATAGACCCTGCTCATGTTTGGTTGTATCAGGCTCTGTGGAAGACCATGTTATCTTTTTCAAATAACCGCATTCCTGGAAGTGCTTTCTGCTTAGAAGCAGCCTGTCAGGCAGGAGGGCCAATGTGGTGCACTAGGCTGTTTTCATTCAGAGCTCCTGGATGTCCCATGTGGAGGCAGAGGACAATCCCAAGCAGCCCATTGGGCCAGGTAGACTGAGGAAGAATTATGTGGGAGCCTGAAGGAAGGTGGTTGGAGGAAAGCATGAGGAGGGGTGGGGCACTTACACATAAAACTTGTCTTTCTGCCTCCAAACTCCTAGACTCCAGTCATCATAGCGTTCATCACAAACAAAATCTATATACCCTGTTGGTATTGCAGAGGCAGAATTGGCCAGGGCTTAGGAAGAGAATCCATTCTGGTCTCTTTAATTCAAAGAGTGGCACATGCCTTTAATCCCAGTATTTGAGAGACAGATAGGCAGATCTCTGAGTTCAAAGCCAGCTTGATCTATAAACAAAGCTGGGGGAAGGGGTGGGGCCTATCCCTTGGTTTAGTTGAGTATCTTTGCCTGGGCTGCAGTAGTTTGGTTAGAGATGATTCCTGAAGCCATGAGGGGATTGAGCCCACTTGAGATCTGCTTTTGAGAAACTGTTGGATGTGTGGGTAGATGTCAAGCCTGTCTGGTCTGAGGCTTGGAGGACAGAGAAAAGAGTAAAACCCATCTCTGCTCCTCTTGGGAGACCCAGCCACACTCCAAAAGGCCTATCAGCAGCACAGAAGCGTCCTGTTACTCTGTTTTGGTGTGCCTGAGTGGGTGAAAGATTGGGGCCTGCAACTCTGGTGGCTGACTTGTGTGTGCAGTGAGTACAGGTAGAATATCAGATAGATCCCCCCCCTTTTTTTTTTTCCTTGAATAAAGATAGCTTTCTGTGTTGGTACAATCTCTTTCTAGGAAGAGAAGAGCATCTATCATTTGGTCCATATCGGGAAACTCGGAGTGATAATAAGAGCTAGGTCAAAGGGTGTGTGGTTCAGTGGCAAGGTTTTGGCCTAGCCATGTGCAGGGTTGCTGGATTCCATCCCCAGCACCGTTTCTGTCCCAGATATAAAGGATATATAAAAGTGTCCTTTCTGCAGCAAGTTTTGGATATGTGGTAGACGCTAAATAATGTCTATAATTTTCTTTCTTTGCCAAGGTACGGACATTGCTGCAGGAGAAGAAGTTGCCATCAAGCTTGAATGTGTCAAAACCAAACATCCTCAACTCCACATTGAGAGCAAGATCTACAAAATGATGCAGGGAGGAGGTAAGGGTCATTGGAGTTAAATGTCTGCCCATGGCTTGGCTTAGAGGTACAAAAGACCTTACCCAAGAAAGAGAAGCAGTCTTATGTATTTTGCTTAAGAACCACTTTCTTAGCTTCCCGTTAGAGGGTAATGTCTTTGAAATCTGGGTTTTGTGAAAGATTCAAAATAAACATACTCTCTTCTCTTACAGTGGGAAGGGCTACTAGTGGTGCTATCACTCCATGGTGCTTCCTGCCAGTTGGCCTCTTCTGGGCCACATGGCTTCCTTAGAACTTGAGGGTGGTCCCATGGAATTCTCTGACGCTCGTTTTCTCTTGGATAGAATTCTTGAACATGACTTCTGATCCTCCCAGTTAAGTCACCGTTACCAGTTCTGTAGAACTTTACCCCAAGACTTTGGAGTACGAAGCTAGTGGTGGGCCAGTCTCACTTGTAGAATTCTGGGAAATTCTAGTTTGATTCATGGAGCAGGTGAAAACGCATTGTGAAGGCTCCTATCCTAGATGATGGGGTTGTACCTTCAGAAGAACTTACCAGCAGGGTTAGGGCTGGGGTTCTTCTAAAGGCATAGCTCCATCTCCTAGGATAGGTGTGGTGATATTTTGTTTATGATCTAATAAAGCTTGTCTGGAGATCAGAGTGCAAAGCTAGCCCCAGCCATAGACGTCAGGCAGTGGTGGTACACATCTTTAGTCCCAGCACTTGGGGAGGTAGAGACAGGAGTGCTATGGCTGGGCGGAGAGAGGAATATAAGGTGGGAACAGACAGGAACAGTACAGTTTGTAGATGCAATCAGAGGACACAGTCATGACAGACTTCATATCTGAAAAGCAGCCATACCTCATGATCCCTTTTAGCAGAAGCCTCCATGGTGCCATGGTAGTTGGAGCAGGAAGGAGAAAGAGCCCTCCTAATCCTACTGCCCACCTGAGACAGAGCCTTTATTGGTCCTTCCCTGTCAGCAGGAAATGGGAAACTGTCTCATGGTTTGTCTGGGCATTATTTTTCTTTTTTTCTCTTGCATATGTGTTACAGTTTTTGATATTGTGTTTTTATGGGATTTCTGGGTCTCTGCATCTGTTTGTTTCATGTGTTCTTTCTTTGACTCCTTTTCTTTTAGTTTCATCCTATTCAATTTTGGTTTTATTTTTGTCTTATTGTCTCAAAAAGAGGCCCAGTCCTGCTCAGCAGCCCTTTGGCACCATTTTTCAGAAGAACAGCCTTCTTGGGGGCATTAGGGACTGGCTGCATAGCTTTTATAACAAGCAGAATAGAACAGTGTCACAGGCTTCGTCTTTTCTAGGAGTGTCAGCATTTGAGCTTAGTGTATTCAGGGTTGTGGTTCTGAGACTGCTAGCCTGGAGTGCCTAAGGGGAGAGGCAGGCTGATAGTGACGAGAAAGGAGTGTAGTGTGTTCCAAACAGGTCTCTGGCATCAGTTCACTGCCATTTACTGTGGTATTGTGGTTTGTTAGTGTGGAGCATCCTAGGTGTCAGTTACCCTCCCTGGTTATGTTGTAGATGCCCTGGATGGTGCCAGGAACCTGCTGGGAGATAACATTGCTTCCTGTGTTGGGCCCTCAGTCATTTGCCCACATCCCTTCTCCAAACTCATAGAACCCAGACGAGATTCAGAAATGGGTACTACTGTTTGTTGGTGTTTGAATGTTGTTTCTCGACCTTTGGTCAGGTTTTACTCTTGCTGCCTACTTACTGAATACCCTACAGGTCTCTGTTATGGGAAACAGTGTGTCCAGAGGAAGAATGCAGTTTTGGCAGAGTTTGTTATCTGAGACTGAGTGGAGGCTGGCAGATGCAGGGTGGGCTGTGCTTTGCTCAGAAGCCACGTTACGTCATGCTCTCTGTATGTAGGTGAATAGGGATTGCTTTGCTACCTTGTGGAAGGAACAAGCGCCTGTTTCATTGTCCTGATCTTGTTTACGTTGGCTCTGGTTGTGCCAAAAAGAAATCGTATAGTTAAGTGGATGGCTGCAACATGAGGTTTATGTGGAAGACTTGCAGGTGCTAGTAGTGTTGCGGTGCCTGGTTAAGAGCTGTTGTGCTGAGCCGGGCGTTGGTGGCACACGCCTTTAATCCCAGCACTCGGGAGGCAGAGGCAAGCGGATCTCTGTGCGTTCAAGGCCAGCCTGGTCTCCAGAGGGAGTGCCAGGATAGGCTCCAAAGCTACACAGAGAAAACCTGTCTCCAAAAACAAAAGAGCTTCTGTGCTGAGTGAGAAACAGCCCAGGAGGGTTTTCATAGGATACAGACTGGAACCTGAGCTCAGCCTCAGGATGTGCTTCGCAAGCTCTCTCATTGGGCTTTCTTGAATCTCCAGCCTGCAAATAACTGCAAAGAGACTTTATAATTATAAAAGCTTGACCATTAGCTTATGCTGGTCCCACTAGCTCTTAAAATTCAAATTAACCTGTGTCTATGAATCTGTGTTCTGCCACAGGACTCAGTTACCTCTCCTCTGTGCCATATATCTGACTTCTTCAGTCTCTCCCGGCATCTCTGTAACCTAATCTGCAAGTGCCTAGATTCCTCCTCTTCTTTTTCTCTTTCCCCAGCAATCCTGCCTATATCTCTCCTGCCTGGTTATTGGCCATTCAGGTCTTTATTAAACCAACCACAGTGACACAACTTCACACAGTGTAAACAAATATTCCACAACAGTGTGATCTGGGCACTTCACGAGTCCAAAAATCTGGTCAGCACAAAAAGTTAAAAGGTGAAATACTAGAAATAAACTAGAATTCAGTTAGTAAAAGTCAGTTAGTAGGCAGTTTTTGTCAACACCCGGTATTGCCAGATAAGACCTGGTAGCTTTTTTAACTGCTTGTTTCATTCCTGATATATCCCAAAGTAGTTTTAGACCACACCCTCCTTCAGTCACTCCTCAGCAGAAAACATTAATGAGTAATGTTTTCTTCTGGTAAATGTTAACAGGGAACTTTGTGGGATAGGAAGAAAGCCTCTTTGCGATACAATTTGTGTAGGAAATACACAACATAGTTTTTTTTCTCTTGGCTTTTTTTGGGGGGGCGGGGTGAGTGGCCCCCAGAGAGTGGCACTATTAGGAGGTGTGGCCTTGCTGTAGGAAGCATGTCACTATGAGAGCAGGCTTTGATGTCTCTTTCTCAGGCTTCTCTCAGTGTGACCATCAGTCGACTGCCTACACGATGCTCCCCACTATAATGATAACAGACTGAACCTCTGAACTGTAAGCAAGCCACCCCAATTAAATGTTTTCCTTATAAGAGTTGCTGTGGTCGGGCTGGAGAGATGGCTCAGTGGTTAAGAGCACTGACTGCTCTTCCAGAGGACCTGAGTTCAATTCCCAGCAACCACATGGTGGCTCACAACCATCTGTAATGAGATTTGGTGCCCTCTTCTGGTCTGCAGGAATACATGGAGGCAGAATGTTGTATACATAATAAATAAATAAACCTAAAAAAAAAAAAAAAGAAGAATTGATGTGGTCATGGTGTCTCTTCCGAGCAATTAAAAAAAGGAGAGTCTATGGTGCCCTGGCTGGACTAGAACTCACTTTGTAGACCAGGCTGATCATCTTCCTTCCTCTGACTCCCAAGTGCTTAGATAAACCAGCATGCCTGGCAGTGTTTATTTTCTGTCTTTGACTTTTTTGTCAAGATCTCAAAGTCCTGCTTTGCCTCCTGAGTGTTGCAGTTAATGCTGTGGACCACCATGCCTGGTGTAATTAATCATGAGCTGTTACTGAGCATTGCTAGAGAACATGCAGCATGCAGGTGAGTTAGATATTGGAGTAAAAGCTGCCTGTGACCCCTCAGTTCTTTGAGGGAGTCTCCAATGCTACCCTGTGAAGCCATGTGCCATGACTAGGCCATGTGCCTGCCTAGTCTCTAGCATATCTCCTCTAGCCCTTGCTTATACATTCTGTTTGCCATGATTTGGGGCGTGTTGGGGGTTGTTTTGGAGTGCTAGGATGAAGCTAGGACTTTTCCTGTGCTAGATAAGCACTGTACTACAGCCCTAGCCCTGCTGTTTTTCTTTCTTGTCCTCCCACAAGAAATTTGGTTTAAAAATGTAAATAATACTTAGAAACATTTGACAGGTTTAATCACTTTAAACTGAATTGCTGAACATGTAATAAATTTGTCTATTTGAATTAATTCTCAGTGCCCACATTCACATTGAAACACTTGACAAATCATAATGGAAAGCACTTGCCAGTACCTGTGTTTTCTAGTGTCTGCCCTAGTTTTAGCATCTTAGACCCTGTAAGGGTAAAACATCCATATTCACAGTTGTGAACAGAGTGGTGTGTAGCTCATCCCCAAGTCATGGTACAGACAGCACTTGGGCTTTTTCTTTAAACTGCTAGCTCCATTTGTTCCTGGAAAAAAAGCAAAACAACAGAATAGTAGTACCAGCACTTTCCAGACAAGGATCTACTTTGGATTCTGGATTTTGCTAGTATGAATGTCTGGCTTCAGAATAGCAGTGAGCTGGAAGGTTCATCATGCTTTATCAGGAACTTTCTCTTAATTGGTTTTCTAGTCACTTGTTTCCTAGGCTTCACTACTAGTTTCTGGCAGTTTGCTGAGGGTAAAGTACACCACAAAAGACATTCTCCAGCCAGAGATCTGAGCTCAGGAATCCTTTGCAGTGACTGTATTTTAAACAGTCTTTAGTGCCATGGATTAACAAATAACACTATTATTCCCCATTGAAAAGGAAGGTGCTGCCACCCATCACATAATCCCCAAACTATTAAGTACATCAAGAAGCCAAGGAAGCTTCCTTATATTGCTCCTAAATAGCAGTTTGCTAATATGTAATGCAGTCATGCTATATGCATCTTGTAACCTTTTGACAATATATTCCTAGAATTTGTTTGCATGTGACAGACTCTCCTAGAGTAAACATAGAAGAAATTAGGAGTTTTCTTAGCTTAAGATCAAAATATCATCAATTGGGCTAGGGAGATGGCTCAGTAGGTTAAAAGTGCAAGCAGGATGTAGTAGTGTGTCTGTGCAGTCCCAGCGCCTCTGTACAACATGGAAGTGGAAACGGGAGCATCACAAGCCAGACAGATGCCCTGGAGTGCATAGACCACAAACAAATTCCCTTCATGTATACAGTGTGGTACAAACATATGTACACACATAACAGATTAAGTAAACATTTAAAATACTGTCAATTTACTTAATCAACAATAACTAGTTATAAAATGTGATTTTAAAATACCATTTATGGTAGCATATACCTTAAATGTTGTCATAATGTAATTTTTTAAACTTTTACTTTTTAAAATTTATTTGTAAATATGAGTGCTTTGTCTAAATGTAAGACATTATGCCAGAAGAGGGCATCAGATCCGACGATAGATGGTTGTGAACGCCCATGTGGTTGCTGGGAATTGAACTCAGAACCCTTAGAAAAGCAACCAGTGCTCTTGCCATCTCTCTAGCCCACAATGTAATTTTTTTTTAAAGATTTTATTTATTTATTATTCATACAACATTCTGCCTCCATGTATATCTGTACACCAGAAGAGGGCACCAGATCTCATAAGGGGTCGTTGCTGGGAACTGAACACAGGACATCTGGAAGAGAGTCGGTGCTCTTAACCTCTGAGCCATCTCTCCAGCCCCACAATGTAATTTTTAAGAAACCATTTATTGTAGCAAAATAGGAAGTACATGGGGTGTTTAGGAATAAGTTTTGAGATAGGCAAGTACTCTATGTAGAAAGTTAAAAGGCTTTGCTGGAGGACATTCCAAGATTTCCAATAAAGTTAAACCTTGAAACAGCAGGGTTGGCGATTGGCTGACCAGAATTAGCCATAGAGGACCAAGGGAGTTGAGGTTTCAAGGGCTTTTTCAAGTCTGGAAGTGTGGGGAGGCAGGGTCGTCTGCTCATCCTCTATTGCTCTTTAGATCTATCAGGTTTTTACCCCAGTACCTAACACCTGACTTTAATAATAGAACAATGTAAGTAAGTGCTTCGTTGGTGCCTAATGCTGGATACCAAGTGTAGTCAGACTTTTCCAGCTGCCAGCCCCACATGACATGGAGACTCAATAATTGAAATCTTTGCTTTAGCTTAGGCTTATCCCACTAGTTCTTAAAACTTAAATTAACCAATTTTTTATTAATCTACATTCTGCCTTGTGGCTCTGTTACCTCTCCTCTGTACCGTATGTCTGACTTCTTCAATGTCTCACTGGCACCCCTAGATTCATCCCAAGTTCCCCTCTCTTCCTGGAAGTCCTGCTTAGTCTCTCCTGCCTAGCTGTTTGCCATTTGGCTTTTTATTAAACCAATCACAGTGACACAAATATTCTGCACAGTTGATTCCACTGCTGTAAATACAGCTGTGTTTCTCACCAAAGAAGATTGCAGCTAAGAAGTGCTATTACTCCCAGAGCTGTTGGTTGCTTTGTGTAGGTATGGATCTTGCACTGTTCAGAAAGGAGCTTTTATGCAGGACTTCCAGGGATGGAACACCATTTGTGTGGACAGTCTGTTGTGCCCTAAGGGAGTCTTCATGGTTCTTACACCTGGCTTCTCTGAGCTCAGTCTGAATTTGTTTTCTGATGGATTGAGCTGAGCCTACTGCACAGTACACTAAGGCTCCTGTTTACTTCAGTGGTTTCTATTGTTGTCTTGAGTTTTGTTGTAAACAGAGATAGTGCCTTTGTTTCCTGGATGCCCAGCCCCTAAATAAGCACACAGAAAGCTTATTATTAATTATAAACTATTTGACCTATATAGCTGAAGCTTATTTCTATTAATCTATATTTTGCCATGTGGCTTTGTGGCATTACCTGTTCTCTGGACCATCTTGCTGCTCTGGCAGCTCCCAGACTCCACCCTTCTCTTTCCCTATTTTCAGTTTGGCTTCCCTGGCTGGTTCCAAATCAGCTATTTTATTAACCAATGGAAGTAAAACCTTCACAGAATACAAATGGGTTATCCCACAGCAGTCTTTGCAATGTTTAATCTGCTTGGTGTGATGTTTCAATCTTAGACATTACACTTTCAACCTTTGGTGTCAGGTAGAGGCGGGTGTGTGTGTGTGTTTCTCTTTCCTTTAACTTTGTTGACATGGAGTTCACTCATATTTCAATTTTGTTTCTTCTGCAATTCTGGGTTTTGATCTCAGAGTTCCTCACAAGGTAAGCAGGCACTCTTACTACTGTACTATATCCCTGTCATTTTTTTGTTTGGTTTTATTTTGGCACAGGGTTCAATAAGTTACCCAGGCTGGCCCAGAACTCTCTCTCTAGGCCTGACAAGCCTTGAACTTGTGATCTTCTTACCTCAGTTTCCTAAGTAGCTGGAATTATAGTCCCTTGGCATACTTTAATTTCTAATGCCCCACCATTACCACCAGTTCTAATATGTGGGCCCTTTGGATGCCAGGCATTGAGATTGTTACCACTTTGCATAGACAGTGCTAAGCAGTCACAGGATGTCCAGCAGCAGGGACTTGCTTGTTGCTGTTGTTGGTGTCAGCTGGCTACCCATCTAGAAAGCTATTTGATGTTATCTCATATGTCTTGTATAGTTGGATAATTTGTGCCTTAACACCACAGCAGATGGGTTATATGTTCAGAGATAAAAGGGAATTCCATGCTTTACAGTGAACATACGCAAGAACATTCTTCACAGTGCCATTTATAATAGGAAAAGCAAACCTAAACCATCTGTCTTTGTTAGGGTTTCTGTTGGGATGAGGAGACATCATGACCATGGCAACTCTTACAAGAGAAAGCATTTAATTGGGGCTGGCTTACAGTCCATAGATTTAGTCCATTGTCGTCATGGTGGCAAGCATGGTGGCATGCCGACAGACATGGTGCTGGAGAGGTACTACATCCGGTGCTGAGAGTTCTGTATCCGGGATTGGCAGAGAGCAGGAAGAGGGTGAGACATCTGGCCTGAGATCATCTGAGACCTCAAAACCCACCCCCAATGACAGATTTCCTCCAAAAATGCCATGCCTACTTCACCAACACCACACCTCCTAATAGTGCCATTCCCTATGGGTCTGTGTGGGCTGTTTTCATTCAGACTACCACCCCATGCACCGGGTAGGTGGTTACAGATTGTGGGATACTGGTTGTATGAAATGCTGCATACATAGCACATATGAGGGAGGTCTGAATGGGGATTATGCTTGGACAGCAAAAGGCCACAAAAGACGGTGTGTGTGTGTGTGTGTGTGTGTGTGTGTGTGTGTGTGTGTGTATGATAGAAGCTACTGTTAGCAATATATACTAGGTCTTCAGTTAGGGTTCCAGTCTCTATTACTTTTATATTTAGATATTTGTTGTATGAGTTCTCAAGTAAGATGTAAAATACTTTGAGATAATGAAGCCCCACCACCACCACCAAATGGTAGGCTTTCCAAGCAAACATCTAAACTCACGATGAAGCTCCACTTGGTGCTTCACATGAAGGAAAGAGAAGCCTTATGCTATGACTGAGCTGAAAGTGGAGTATGTATGATGAGAGTCAGTAACTGTGTGTGTGGCGCTTACTAGGCCACATGTTCTCGTAGGCAGAGGAGAGTACAGGGCGTCTTGTAAAGCGTGACTCTCTGCAATGCTTGCTCTTTGACCTGAACAAAGCTGCTGTGTGCAACCTTGTTCTTGGCAGTTTTCATGAGCAAGTGCTCCCAGATTTTTTCTGAACATCTTTGTGTGACTGCTGTCAGTCATTTATGTTTTTAGATGAAATAATTTGGTCTTTGGCCCATTTTTCAAAAGTAGAGAGAGTGTTTATTGTGAACTTTTGTTTTTAGATCTGGCACCTTGAAGACATCCTTAAGTTCCTTCCTTCGTCTGGAGTTCTTGATTGTTTGGTTTTGTAGCATCTCATTACGTAGTCCAAGCAAAACTCCTTACCCTCAGCTCCACCACACAGCACCTCCCTTCACCCACTGGCTTCTTTGTGTTGACTTTGTCCTGTTCTCTCCTTATTCTCTCTTCTTCTGGTTGGTGTGTTAAAAGCCTGTGTAAATTTCTAAGAAGTTTTCATTGCATTTGCTTTTCTGTCATCAATATTGGGGCGGGGGGGGGGCTTTTTTCTCTGCTTCTGCAACCTGTGGTAGTTGTCTTTTTCTTCTGTTTCTCGGCATTAGGTTCCAGTCTCACTGGTGCAGTGATGCAGCTATCACTTCAGCTGACTTCTCTGGACCTGTCTTAACTCATGTGCTTTTTCTTTCCATGGATGCTGGTGTTATGAAATTAATTATTTCATTTACTGCTCCTGCCTGGATCATCTGAACCCACAGACTCAATCCACTAAACAAATATTATATGTCTTGTTGAGTAGAGGTGATCTGTTGATCTGATGCAATAGCCCAGGCTTGAAGAGCTGTGTTTGGTTTCTCTTCCAGTGGGCATCCCTACCATCAGATGGTGTGGGGCTGAGGGGGACTACAATGTCATGGTGATGGAGCTACTAGGACCGAGCCTAGAAGACCTCTTCAACTTCTGTTCAAGGAAGTTTAGTCTCAAAACTGTCCTGTTGCTTGCTGACCAAATGGTAAGCACCCCATTTCATGAAGTGTACAGGCTGTGTAGGTCTTGGCATGTGCTTGCTGGCTTGATAGAATAAATTACTGGGTTATGTTGGGCATGGTGGTGCATGCTTTTAATCTCAATACTCGGGAGGCAGAGACAGGCAGATCTCTGTGGGTTCGTGACCAGCCTGGTCTGCAAAGCAGGTTCCAGGTCCGCAGGAGCTATGTGTAGTAAAATCCTGTCTCAAAAAAAAGGTAAGTTACTGGGTTGCCATTTCTCTGTTGTTATACCCATTTGTGCATAGAAAGGGGAATTTGTTTAACATTGGCCTCAGGATTAGAGACCAATTTTTAGCTCCTATTGAATGGACTTCCTGTTCTCAGTGGACTGATAGCAGCTCTTGGGTGGTTTCCATGAATATTGTTGTTTATGGCTCATGCAGAGTCCAGCTGATGCAGACCATTATCACCTCAGCCTGCTCTCTTTTCTACTCCCACGGGAACCAAGGAGAAGAAATGTCTGGGCCTGTGGTGGGGAGATAGAGAGCTGAAGATATCTTGAGAGATGACCACCCTAACGGAAATCACTGTGCTCTCCACAAAGCAGAGCAGGTGTAATGTGAGCCTCACTGCCAGGAAGCCTCCTGGTCCAGCTTGAACACTGGGGATTCAGTCTCACCTTTGTTTCTCTGTTTGTAGATAAGTCGTATTGAGTACATTCATTCGAAGAATTTTATCCACCGAGATGTGAAGCCAGATAACTTCCTCATGGGGCTGGGAAAGAAAGGCAACCTGGTCTACATCATTGACTTTGGTCTGGCCAAGAAGTACCGAGACGCCCGCACCCACCAGCATATCCCTTATCGAGAGAACAAGAATCTCACAGGGACGGCGCGCTATGCCTCCATCAACACACATCTTGGCATTGGTGAGCCTGACATAGGGATGGAACACTTGACTTAGTGTACCTTTAGCATGGTCATCCTTAGCTTAGGGAAAGCCCAGTTTATTTAGCAGCCTAGGGTTATGAGTCAGTTTGGTGATGAGAGAAGAGAGGTCTGGAGGCGGTCAGCAATCTTTATAGCAGACAAGCCGATTTGCGCAACTGCTGGAGTCTTTATACTGCCAGGTACAGTGGGGTAGGGTAGGCAGAAGCTGGCTTCACCAGCAGTTCTCCTCAAGATGTTGAGGTTGTTTGCCTGAAGTGTTAGGGAGGTTTCTTTAACATCATGTAAGGGACAACTTCTGGTGTTGTAATTTTGCAAATATATTTTTTTGTTATTCTTGAAGTTTTATTTCCATTGTCTTGTTTGCCAAGTGTTGCTTTTATACACACACCAGACACACATGCCATCCTTGACATGGTTCCCTTTTCTTTCCAGAACAATCTCGAAGGGATGACTTGGAGTCTCTGGGGTACGTGCTGATGTACTTCAACCTGGGCTCTCTCCCCTGGCAGGGGCTGAAGGCCGCCACCAAGAGGCAGAAGTATGAGAGGATCAGTGAGAAGAAGATGTCCACTCCCATTGAAGTGCTGTGCAAGGGCTATCCTTGTGAGTCCCCTCACTCCTGCCCCAGTGTTAACTAGATGCCTGTGTGGAGAGCCTCACCTTCTGTTAGAAGAGTTGTATGAAAGAGGCACACTTTTTATATATGAAGGTGGCAGTTGGACCTGGTTTGTTTTTGTTTTTCCATCCCTGAACTCTTTTTGTCTAGAAGGTGTTCTGTGAGGCCCAGGAGACCCTGGGAAGAGGCAGGACTGAGCCTGGAGAGGTGACTTACATGTCTAGGAAAGGGGAAAAAAGTGGAAGACCTAACTACTCAACCTCCCAAAGCCATTTCCCAGGAAGTTTTCCTGTTTGCTGAGATTTCTCCTGCGATAAAATGACCTCAATGACTACATTGTGCTCTCCACTGTTGACCTTTTGGGAGGTGTGGAGGGCATTAGATATGGAACCCAGGGCCTCACATGCTGTGCAAGCTCTCTGTCACTCAGCTACACCTCCAGTCGAAGGCCCGATTTCTTAAATAATAGGAGTTTTCAGATTTCATCTTTGATGTGTTTGTTATATGGCACTGTGGGAGGTGAGCTTGGTGAATAGATATAAGTCTAGACCACCACTGGTAGTTCCTGACTAGCTTTGAGTTTCTTGTTTTTTAGCTGAATTTGCCACATACCTGAATTTCTGCCGTTCCTTACGTTTTGATGACAAACCTGACTACTCCTACCTGAGACAGCTCTTCAGAAATCTGTTCCATCGCCAGGGCTTCTCCTATGACTATGTGTTCGACTGGAACATGCTCAAATTTGTAAGTGACATTGGTAGAGCATTGGATGTCAACAGCCTGGTCCTCAGAAGGCTGGGTTGGGTTTTTTTTATGTAAAGCTATGCTGTCTGTGCCAGGCACAGTGGTAGGAATTGTGAAAGCCATGCACACCTGGTAGAACTTGGACCTAGAATCCACTTTGCCTGTAGGTTCAGAGTGCTGAGAGGGAAGATACTGAGTGATACTAAAACCTCTATAGCGTTTGGGGCTGGAGAGATGGTGTGGTGGTTAAGAGCTTTTACAGGGGACCTGGGTTCAGTTGTTAGGACCATCTAACTCCAGTTCTAGGGGATTCCTTTATACCCTCTTCTGGCCTCTGTGGGCACTGCATGACATGGTTCATTTACTTACTTTGTCGTGACCCGGCATGTCTCAGCTCCAAGCCACGACAGCCATGAGTTGGGGGTGCGTGGATCTGCAAACTCCTAGCAACCCAGCGGTGATAAAGACCAAACACAGGCATCTTGTCGTCTTTAGAGAGCTCTCAGTTCCATGTTGTAAAACTAGAGTCCTTTGTTTATTTGCCATCTTTTCTGCTGTTTCTTAACCGTCCTGCCATGACCATGAGGGAACCATATCTCTCCTTGTTCTCCTCTCTCCTCTGGTTGCTCGCCCCACATGCAACAAAACACTAAATAGTAAAAACCACTGGCATTTGTGGATATGTATAATAAGAAATCCAGTAAGCTGTGGTGAAGGTCTATAGAGAGTCAGCTGTTTATGGATTGCTGTTACTTAGTTGAAAGGCCTGCCTTCTGCCCTTCCTCCTCAAGAGCAGCAAGTGCTCTTAATCACTGAACCCATTCATTGCTCCAACCCTCAGAGTTTTATTTTGAAGTTTGTTGTGCCTCAGCTAAGCTTAAACTGTCCTTGTGCTTTGGCTTTCCAAGTGCTGTGGGTACTGCTGACCCCGTGCCAACCTTAGAAGATTCTTCTGTTATAATTTCCATCACCAATTTTAGGAGCTTTGTGGATTCAGCTGCTTGGGGTGGCGTGGCAGTCTGGACTAGTAGAAAAGCCTAATGGTCGCCCTAAGCCCTACTTCTTCCTACCATTAAGCATCCCTACTTCTATCTCCAATCCAGTGTACATCTCATAGGCCTCAGAAGAGCCCCTGGGGTAAAGTGTCTGGTATTCAGTCTGAATTTGATCCTGAATGTAATCATTCAGACATTGCTACTATATTTCAAGGCTTTGTGAAACTTTTGTGTCTATTTTCATTGAAAATTTGTTCATGGCCTGGGCATGATGGCTCTCATACCTTTAAGCATTCAGAGGGCAAAGGTGGGCAGGTCTCTTGAGTTTGAGATCATCCTAGAATACATAGCTCCATGCCAGCCAGGGCTATAAAGTGAGATAACAAACAAAAATAAAATAAAAACAGAAATTCATTCTTTGAGCCAAGCATGGTTGTGCAGCTTTGTAATTAATTTCAGCTCTTGGGAGGTTGGTTAATTAGCTTGAGGCCAGCCTTGGGCTACAAAGCAAGACCCCCATCTCAAACAATCAAGAAAGTTTTTCTAATTGGAACTAGAAATTAAGTAATGTATCTAGTTGAAGCAGTAGCAAGAACTGCTTCTTCAGGGTGCATGTCAGGAACCTTGTCAGTCAGCCGCACTGTGTCCCAACTCATTGAGAGGGTGGATGGCTGTGCACTGTGTCCCAACTCATCAGAACTGAGGGTGGGTGGCTGTGCACTAGAACTGCATGCCTGGGGCTCGTGCTGCTTGTGTGTACGTAGACCAGCCAGGGCCAGAAGGAGAAGACTTGCCTTATGGGGTGAGCTAGCTCAGGAGAGACTTAGTCCGTCTGCCTCGGTGGGGATTCAAGAGACAGCTAAGTCTATGATGAAATAGAAAGGAATGGCCTATGCTTGCAGGTCCCGCTGACAGTGATCAGAATGATACTTTGACTCTGGTTTCTGGTCCAGCAGAAACCTGACCTCCCACCCTTGCTGCTGGCCTGTGTCTAGAAAGGGTTCTGCTTAGGCCTCTGCCCTGGTCTTTTCCCTGTCACAGGCCTTCCCCATCCCCTTTTCCTTCCCTAACGCACTAGCACACCAGCATTGATAGGGATGAAAATGACAGCTTGTACATGTGACTTCCAATATGGTAGGTTATGAAGAGAAACTATGGCCTTCGTGGGTATTATGCAGGCATCATCTTTGTCAAGAAATGTTCTGATTTCTCTATTGATGTGGGTGGTTTCAAAGGGCAGTCTTTTAGTGTTTTTGCAAGGGGCTGGGGCCAGCCAAAAGCCTTGGGGGATTTAGCTTTCTTTTTCTTTTTCTTTTTCTTTTTCTTTTTTTTAAACCAAGGCCACTTTCCTGCTGTTTATCCTAAACTTTGTTTCTCAGGGTGCCAGCCGAGCTGCAGATGATGCTGAGCGGGAACGCCGGGACAGAGAGGAGCGATTAAGACACTCCCGTAATCCAGCCACCCGTGGCCTCCCTTCTACAGCTTCCGGCCGTCTTCGGGGAACCCAGGAAGTGGCTCCCCCAACGCCCCTTACCCCTACCTCACACACGGGTGAGCACACCTCTTAGCTTGTTACACCAAACTAGAGCCTCTTGTTTTATGTTTGATGACTTGCTGACCACCCCAGCATGTGGCCTCACAAGGATTCTGGGCCAACCAGTTCAGGGTTGTGTACCCATTTCAGTCAGTCCTCATTCTGAAGAGTAGATAGGACTGGGTCACAGCCCATGATGTCATCTTTAGAAATGGCATGGTGGCACACACACATTTAATCCCAGAACTTGGTAAGCAGGGGCAAGGTAGTTTTCTGTGAATTTAAAGCCAGTTTAGTGAGATCTTGTCTCAAAGAAAAGAAAGAAATGTCCTTCTCACAAGACTTGGTCTAAAGATTGAGTTCCCTGGAATTTGTTGATAGTATTGGCTGTTTCCTAGATAGAGTGTGCTCTCATGAGGCTGGGGAGATGACTAAGAACACTGTCTGGTCTTCCAGAGGATTGGGTTCATTTCCTGGCCCCCACATGACAGCTTTTACACTGTCTGAACTCTAGTTCCAGAGGAACCAACCCATCTTCTGGTCCCCTTGGGCACTGCATGCACATGGTACACAGACACAGGTAGGCAAAACACCCACACATATACAATAGGTTTTTAAAGTTTTGCTGTGCTGGGGATGATGCACACCTTTAGTCCCAGCACTTGGGAGGTGGAGGCAGGTGGATCTCTGAGTTTGAGGACAGCCTAGTTTACAAATTGAGTTCAGGGCAGCCATTCTGTGATGTGGAATATTACTTTAACTAGGCAAAATGTATCACAAATATGCTGCATTTGTTTAAAGATGTAAAGCTGTGTTACATTTGTTTATCCTGCATTTGTTTAATTATGAAAAAATGTGTTGCTGTTTTACTTTGTCCGCCTATGGCACCTGGTTAGTCTAAAAAAAAAAAAAAAAAAAAAAAAAAATTCTCTCTCATAATACAGGTTTTTTTCAAACCTTTGACTACTCAGGTCTGACAAGTTTTGCTAAATGTTGAGGTCTTGAGATTGCTGGGTATTTGAGTTGGTGTGTGTGTGTGTATCCCTGAGCCTGTGTACTTGGATACAGCAGAGGCCATTAGCCTCTGCTGTGCCTGCAGGCTCACGAGATTTTTATTGATTTATATGTTTATTTATTTGGATTATTATGTGTGTATGTGCACTGCATATATACCTGGTGCTGTGAAGGTCAGAAGAAGGCATTAGGTCTCCTGCAACTGGCGTTAAGGATGGTTGAGGCTACTGGAAACCAAAATGGGTCCTCTGTAAGAGCAAGTACTCTTGACCACGGAGCCATCTCCAGCTTCAACTAGTGAGATGTTAAAGAGTGGTAATTGTGGTTTCTCTTCATCTCCTCCAGCCAACACCTCTCCTAGGCCTGTCTCTGGCATGGAACGAGAACGGAAAGTGAGCATGCGGCTGCACCGTGGGGCACCAGTCAACGTCTCCTCATCTGATCTCACGGGCCGACAAGATACCTCTCGAATGTCCACCTCACAGGTATGCATGTAGAACACACTGAGGCCTGGATGTGCCAGCCCCTGGTGTAGGGGTATATGTCCTTGTCACTATGTACAGACACTGGTTCTCTCCCTTACCTTGTCTTAAGGACTGACTTTACAGGTTCACAGGAGTGGGTGACACTTGTGAAGAGCGAATTTTCTTCCTTCCCCTACTTTTTTCCTCATTTTGAGGATGGTTAAGCAGTCAGGCTTCTAATTATGTTTTGCTTCTTGGTTAGAGCCTGTGACTAGCCGGACTCCTAAAGGGTTTATTTCCTGGCTAGGACTATAGTGGGCTGTGAACTGTTTGTAAAGCTTTTCTGTTTCTGCTGCTCGATTTCAAAGGGACATCCCTATCTTTCCCTGCCCCGCCGCATTCCCCACCAGGTAGACACCATATGCCTGCTTGCTCATACCTCTTGTTGGGGAGAGGTCTGTTGTAGGCACACCTAGCTTTTTTACAACTCCACTAGTGTTTACTAGCGAGGATCTCCTTAGCAAAACACAAGGGAAGGCAGTAGCTACCTAAGAAGGTTCCCTGTGAGGGATCTTAGGCAGTAGCATCCTTGGAGGTGCCAGACTTTAAGGTATCATTTTCTGTTGACCTGTCTGTCTGTGATGAAGGAGGTGCTCGGGGAAGGAGAGTAGTTTGGACTAGTTTCCAGACCCTTCCTAGCTACTCCCTCGTCCACTTCCAAGTCCTCCCTCTTTGCTGTGCTTTTGCTGCTGTTCTGCATTCAAAACTGCTTTGTTCAGTCAGACTAGAATAATGTCTGTCTACATTAGGTTTAAGCACATTTGTGACATCTCTCTGGCTTACTGTGTGACCGAGTTTGGTGTTTGAGTAGGTAAGGACTGGACGATAGTGCATTGAGTCAGTATGAGATCCCTGGGGCTTCCTGGGCTCAGGCCACACCCAGACCTGGTCTGATGGAAATCAAGACTGTTGAAACAGTCTTGGGCATTTCTGATTTGCCAGAAATGATGGGTTTTATATGGTAATTTTCTTCTGAAGAGACAACAGATGTAGGGATTTGACGAGGGGTAACTTAAGTTGTGGGCCTTGAGTTTTGACATCATGAGGAGATTGAGTCCCTTGGTGTGTACACTCATAGCAGACCACTCGTGGAAGACTTAACGGTTTTTTGTTTTGTTCTTTCACATAAGTCATTGTGTGTTCATATTAGGAAGTAGTTCAGCTTTGCCTGTTCATCTACAGCCTGTGATGTGGTGGACCCTGGCTGGTTTGGACACTTTCATGCCAGCAACTGGGCAGATTAAGAAAGGGATGGCAAGGGCAGTCTGTTTTGTTTTAGTTTAATAAAAAAAATTGAAGCATCTGGTAGTTTGGGATCCAGGAGGACAGTGGAAGAGTTAGGAGGTTCTTTGGTACCAAGAAGACACAGGGTACAGCCCAGCGTTGTCATCTTTTTGCCAAGGCTGTAGCTACCTTGTCCTTAGGGTGACAGAGAATATCATTTTTCTCCACATGGTTAACTTGGGCCTCAGAATCAAGTCTCTGGCCGCTTGGTTTCTCATGTTTCTGCCTGGATAACTGTTAACAGGCTTGAACACATTCCTTGGGTTTTCCTTTGGCTACCTTGGGGGTTTTCTAGAGACTTCCTGTGTTCTAGTTGTCTACAAATGTTCATTTATGTTCACAGCTGCACCTTTGGGGGAGTTTTGCTGACACTAAAAGGCAGCTATCCTTAAGGGCATCCCTTTAATTGCAGAATATCACCAGCATCAGTGTGCTTGTACTTTGTATGATGTACTTCCTTCTCCACTCGTTAGGCCCTCAGTCAAGCATCTGCTCTGAGGTTTGGAAATTAAAGGCTAGCAGGGTTCCTCCAGGCTTGACAGGCCAGTAGTAACTTCTCACTGGAGAGTTGGGGTTCAGGTAGGAGTGGTGGCATGTACTTAGCACAGTGAGCTGGAGAGTACCATGCGTGAATAAGCGCTTGCTGCAACTGGATATATCTTTTGCTGAGTTTCCTTATCTACAGCTGCTGGTTTTCTAATAGCTGGTATATCCTGTGTGGTATAGTGTAATACCCACAAGTGCTTACATCCATTTAGAGCCAGTCTTAGGAGTGCCTGATGCCCTTATCCACGTCTGATGACAAAAAGGTACAGGTCACTGGAGTGGCCTCTTGTGCAGGACCTCAGCCTCACTCAGGTTTTGCCTGCAAGCAGCTGCTTCTTCCTTGGCATCTTACCTTCCCTGAAGAGCCACTTGCACTAGGGAGACTGTTTCCTGATGTCTGTGACTTTGATCTATCTCATCAGCCAAACGAACATAAGCTTTGCAGGGCATCTGAACATTGGGTCACTGTTGTTTTTCCTTGGTCTCCTGTCTAGCACAGTTCAAAATGTGCCAGTTACTGCTTTTGATACCTCACTTAATCCACATCTGCTTTAAATAAGATCACGGGCTCATCCTGGTGCTCTCATTGGGGGAAGTATGTCCCATGGATAAACCCTGGGAGGTGCTATCCCTTCCACCTGCTGCATAGTGCTGTGAAACCAGTTTGTAGGGCTCACTCAGCCCCGCCGCCGTCCACTAGATTTCAGTTTCTGTAGAACACGACGTTAGGAGGGTTGTGCTGGAACAGCAATGGCCACTTTTATCAAGGGTCATGAGAGAGAGACTGATGAGTTCATGCACTGTGTGTAGAGACTTGCCATTAGCTCAAGTCCCCAAAGTGTCTTTCAGGGTCTTGACCTGTTGAAGGCAAGGGGCTCATCAAGACTCAGGCTCAACACAGGCAGTCGAGGGGCCAGGATCTCATGTGCTGGTCTGGCCAGCCGGACACTTAAACCAACAGCTGTCTTTTCCCCACCTCAGAATAGCATTCCTTTCGAACACCACGGCAAGTAGCTGCTCGTCTCCATCGGAAGGCAGCACTGGGTGAGTGTGCTCAGGGTGGGGCTCTGCAGGTAGCAGGTGCCAGGCAAGGTGGGAGCAGCTCCCCACCTGTCGTCTGGGCTCGCTGGTGGGTTGGGCTTGCATGCCAACTGCTGGAAGTAGAGTGAGGCTTCTTCTGCTTATTTTTCTCCATGTATGAGGTATGGAGTAGCTGTGGTGAGCGGCCCAATCTGGGGGTTTCTGGCATCCTTAGACTCTCTAGGGAACCATCCTGCTGTGCCTTTGTCCTCTCGCCTCCCTGTGATTGCATTCGGTATGCTGGAACTGTCCTCAGGCCTGGCTGGCTCTGGGCAGATAGCGTGCTGGCACGTGTGTCTGTTGTACTCAGCTGAGTGATGCCACGCTTGGTATTGGGCTCTCTTGAGCTCTTGCTACATGCGGACTCCTGATGGTCTTTGCCCATCCTGGCTTTTTCAGTCATCCCTCTTCCTCTCTTTCATTTATATCTGTCCTCATTTTGTGTTTCTTTCCAAACTTGATACCTGCCCAACCATCTTGTCCATGCAGCTGTTGTCTATTAATCCAGCCACAGCCACCTGCTACCTTGCCGTCAGTGCATGGCTAGGTGTCCACGCTGAGCTCCTTTCTTGTTGGCCACATGGCACTTGGTGGTTCCTTCCGTCCGAGGCTTGAGCTTTGGTGGGGGTTGTGCTGCTGGGAGATGTGCTCTATTTAACATGTGCGTGCACTCTTGGAAATGTGTTGGTAAGAATTGCTTTTCCTATCTTCCTAAGGATATGCCTGTTTCAGAGCTTCAAGTTCTTTTCTGGAATGGGAGGCTGGGAGCAAGTGTCACTGCTCCACTCGGATCTACAGGAGCACAGCTCTGCAGTTTCCTTGCTTGCATGCCTCCTCTTTCCCCATCTTCCTGTCCTATGTTCTGCTCAACACCTGTCCTGGCTGGCTACAGAGGCCTTTCTCTCCAGCCAGGGCTGAAGGTGTTTAGATTGAAGCCAGGTGGCAGTGCGTCCCTTCCCTCCCAGGCTCTATTGTGTTATGTGCGCCCAAACGCCTGGCTGGCCTGTGCCTCTGGCCTCATGCTGACCTTGTCCTGTGCTTTGGCTCCGACAGATTCCCGGTCGGGTGGCTTCCAGTGGTCTTCAGTCTGTCGTGCACCGATGAGAACTCTCCTTTTTGCTGTGAAGGGCAGACAATGCATGGCTGATCTACTCTGTTACCAATGGCTTTACTAGTGACACGCCCCCCGGTCTAAACCTGAAATGTTAACGCCGGGAGCTCTCCAGGCCACTCACCCAGCGACGCTCATGGGGAATCAAAACACAAACTAAATGGACAGGCTCCAAGAGCTGCCATCGCCAGGGGCTGCACCATGGCCCCATGTGAGCTCAGTTATCATGGGGCTGGAACGAAGAGCAGAGGCTGGGAGACCATTGCAGAGAGAATCCGACTCCCTGTGAAGAGCCTCTCTGCTCCCACCAGTGGTGGCGGACCTGCACTCCCTGACGATCCCACCGCAGCTACCAGTCTTCTACTTGGTTAAGACAGTTTTGTATCATTTTGCTAAAAATTACTGGCTTAAATCTGTGTAAAGAAATCTGTCTTTTTATTGTTTCTTTCTTGTCTGTTTTTGCGGTCTTAAAAAAGATGTTGACCTTAATCCTAAGACATGCTGGCTTGGCGCTTCTGTGTAAATGGAGGCAGGCAAGAGAGGGGCACATGAGTGTCAAGGATGATGTGTGTTTTGTTTGTTTTGTTTTCTCGTGTTGTGCTGTTTACTTTGGAAAGGAAACATCATCAGTTGTGTGTGCGTGTGTGTCTTGTGGGCTCCCATCAGCCTCATTTGGGCATCTTGCTTACTCTTCCCCACTGAAAACTGACAAGCCTGCGATCATCAGCGCAGGTAGAGTGCAGCTGCCACGGAGCCAGGGTGCGGCAGGCATGTTCTCAGCAAAGCAGTGTGGCAAGACCGTCTTCCCAAAGGAGGCAAGAAGGAAGTCAACTCAAAAGAACTCACATGCAGAGAGGCCTTGAGGTCACTATGGGCTGCTGGAGAGTTCCAAGATTGAAAGCTGAGCTTGTGTTTCTGGTTTCTGGGGAGAGGATTGCCATTTGGTAGTGTTGGTTGCCTCTATGCCTTTGAACTTGGGAAGTTGCTGAGCAGACTGAGTACTTCCATGCAGATGCCACTTAGGTCTGTCCTCACCTCTCTGCTCAGAGCCCAGGGAGCAGGCTGTCCTAGACACCATGAGTGGCCAAAGGGAATCAACCCCGAAGTGCCAAGAAGCAGGTGACTGCCGACCTGAATCTAGACCCTTCACCTCCAGAAAGGTGTGGTGCCGCGAGCTTCATCATCTTCAGCTGGACACGTCTGCGGGCTGGGCTGCTCTGCCGCTGGCGGTTAGGATGCCAACAAGCTCTTCCCCACCATGTGCACCGGATATGAAGAGATAGCAGGACCTGAGCTCCCTGTCTGAGAAATGGGGGGCAGTACATGTGTGTGGGTCCATCTCTTGTTTTCCCTGTCAGCCTGTGGAGAGTTATGCTGGGTACTTGGCTCCTTCTTTAGGTTTAGGCTCAAATGGTGCCGCCATGGCTTATCCTTCTTCCCAGAGTTCCCCGGTACTGTGAGCACTGGCCTGGGGTGGGGGACCACACTGCTGCTGTGGCAGCATCCCAGAATGTGGCTGTCGGTTTTGCCAGCCAGCTGTCTGAGCCTGTGGGTGCTTCTTTCTGAGTCCTGAGCTGGTTACTCTGCAAGCATTTTAGGGTGCAGGGACTTGGTGGGACTGTGTGTCTGGGAGTGCAGAGGGCGGTTGGGAGGGTTGGGCAAGTTTGAGATTTTTGTTGCAAATCCTTTATCAAAGTTGGGCCTCCTCTCCAGTAGCAGGCCTGCCTGGCAAGTGTTCTTTGTAGATACCTGTGGTGCTGGAGGGGTATCGGGGTGACCTTGAGACTGATCCAGGTTCAGCCTGGCCCTGTTGGGGTTGTGCTGAGATTAGGCCCATTGGAAGTCCTCCAGGGTGTGGCTCTGACGGTTCTTGCCTAATATTTAATCCCATCATCACGTGCAGGAAGTGTAGTTAGAATGTGTGTATCAACCTGTGTCTTGGTGACCAGTCTCTGAGCTGTGTGTTTGTACTACCACTGTATTTGTGTACTTTAACAATTGTGTAAATAATAAATTCATAATGACTTCTACCTTTCTTCCCGCCCCTTTGTGTGGTCTTTCTTTCAGTAGCTGAGTTTTCAGTATGTGTAAGCCACATGAAAGTCAACTTGGTGTGGGTGGTGACTCTGAGATTAAGACAGTCTTTCTGTAGCCCAGGCTGTCTTGGAACTAACTACTTGGAGTAATCTTCTGCCTCAACCTTCTGACTATCGGTATCAGACCCAGTAAAGCTAACTTGTTCAGGGTGATATCCTGCTTGTCCTTTGTCAGCCTGTGGGTATTGGAAAGCTAGTTGGAGTAAATGCCAAAAATGTGGCTCCCACTTGGACTCTGGTGTGCATAGGTGGGTATTCTTAGGAGTTTACTTGGGGATAGTGTGACAGTTCTGCAAGCCCTTCTATACTCACCTTATAAATGAGATAGAAGGCCCTAAATTATGTAGCCCTCTGTGTTAGTGCCTTAGATTTTTGCCTTGCTAGGGAGGGTAGTTGAGGTGGGTGTGTCCCACTGCCTTAGTTCCTGACATACACTGGGAGAAGGCATCTGTGCACACATGAGTTTTCTACAGCAGCATCCCTTTTGAGGGACAGGCACAGACTATCAGGCTACTGGAACTAGGTCTGTTCCTGTTGTGGAGACCTATCTTCTTGGGAATTCTTACCTGTATCCCACATCCTGATGAACTTGGAGGCATTTGTAGCAGTCAAGTGCTGGCAGGATTTATGGCCAAAACCCACTTGGTAGTTCCCTGTGTGTCACAGATGTGGCCATGCTAGAGGGGGGAACTCCCACAATCTGCCTGAGTTCTTGCCACCTCTAACCCCTACCCTCAACTTGGCATTGTCTCTTCCAAGATATTCTTCAGCTCTTCTGCCAGTTCCTTGAGCATCCCATGTTGGCTTCTGCCCTGCTTGGTGGATTCCATAAAGGAATCTGCTGTTCTGCTGCCCTTCATTAGCTAGGGCAATGATTCTCAACCTGTGGATTGAAACCCTTCTAACAACCCTATCTCCAAAGATATTTGCATTGTGACTCATAACAGTAAAATTATAGTCATGAAGTAGCAATGAAAATAATTTTACAGTTAGGGAATCACTACAACATAGGAACTGTATTCGCTGGGAGAATCCCAGCTCTCGGGAGGCAGAGGCAGACAGATCTTGTAGTTCGAGGCCAGCCTGGTCTACAGAGCGAGCTCCAGGACAGCCTCCAAAGCAATACAGAGAAACCCTGCCTCAAAAAAAAAAAGAAAAACCCCCCCCCAAAAAAAAAAAAAAAAAAAAAAAAAAGGCAGAAACTGTATTGAAGGGGCTGTGTCATTAGGATGGTTCAGAACCCCTGAAACAGATGAGAAGCTAGTGCCAGCTCTGCCTACATCGGTACCTCCTTCAGTCTGGAGCTCCTTGCTGTTACTGCCAGGCAATGTGCAGGGGGCAATAAGCAAACCACTGTCAGGTGCTACTCTGCACCTCTCCTGTAAGGGTGCTTGTGCTAGAGGTGAGAGGGTCTGGACTTGGAGCCAGAGACAGGCGGGTTGCATTTAAGTGGCCATTGTCTGTCTACACTGGAGACTATGCAGTCCCAACAGCTGTGCATCTAGGTAGCTGCCTTCCAGAAGCCCAATCCACACATTCCTCAGATGGCACAGGATCAGTAGCTACTAGGTTGATACTGGTCATTCACTGCCTTCTCTGTGTTCTTTGCCAAGAGTAGGGCAGCAGTAGCCCTAAGTCTAACTCATTTGCCTCAGACTCTGATTTGAGGATGCTGGGATACCTTATCTGTTCCCCTGGACCTTTGAAGGCCCAATTATAGGTAGGTTGGCTGGGCAAGTCTCTCCATTGTCACTCAAGCTTGGGTCTTCATAGGATGAATACCCAGTTCACCCTTCCTTGGCACTCCATTCAACCTCTATAGGGCAGTCATGTTCAGTGTGTCCCCAGCTGTTGCCGTAGCACTTACAGACACTCAAGTCTTCTTGGCTTCATACATCACCTATCAGGGTTGGTCACCACTCTAGGTGCCCCAGCAGCCATACTTTGAGAACAGGGAGTTTCCTTTTATCCAGTTGGGAAGCATCTCAGTGCAGAAATGCAGACAGATGAGACCACCTTATTACAGGACCTAAGAGGCTACCACCCTGGGGTATGAGTGGGGTTCCACCAGCACATACATACAGACTCAAGAGAGGCTTCATAAAGGCTCAGCCTACTGTGGACCTCTTTACTATGAAAAAGCATCTTCCTTTAAAAAAGTTAAAAAAAAAAAAAAAAAAAGAAGGTCCCACATCTTAACCCTGATTGCTTATGTGCATGAAGCCTGACCGTTCTCCATTTTCTTTCTAACGGCTTCATGCTCACACATAGCACATGCTCTGTGTGCAGGTGCAGAATGAATGAGTGGGACGGGGACGGGCAGCATGACCTGCTGGTTTAGGGTTTGAGGGGTTGGGAAATCAGACTGATGAGTCTGGCAGACACTTCTAGGAACAAGCCTGCCCTGCTGCCACCCCCCCCCAGTCACTCTCAACCAACGGTTCCACCAGTATAATTGCTGCAGCTAGGCCTATAGAGGAAACAAGCCTGGGGCTCCTGGGGACTGGCTGAGAGGTAGGCAGAGCAGGCCATGTCCATTGAGGCCCAGCACCCCTGCACCAGAATGCTACTCACTCCGCACCACTTTGTCCCTTTTCTTCTAGTTTCTAAGGGCAGCTAATGGCCACAGTTGGGGCTTGGCATATCTTTGAGGTCCCTGCCATTCCCACGTTCTCTAGTGAGGTTGGCAAATGAGACTCCAGGATGCATGTGACCACAGCTGCCACCAGCTGATCTCCTAAAGGGAACAAAAACCAGATGGGAGAGGAACCCCAGAGTCTTGAGATTGGGTCAGAGCTGGAAGCCCTTGGCCTCATGGAGCTGAGCAGGGCCAGAGCCACCAGGGGGTATGGGAGGCTAGGCCCAGATATGAGCACTCGCCTCCTTTTCCTTGCAGAGGAGCAGGGACGTGGCGTCTCTCCGGCTGCATGCGGCCCGCCAAGGTGCCCGCTGCCGTCCCCAGCGCCCACGACGTACCACCTACTGAGGCGGCCCCAGCGGCCTCTGACCGGGCTTCCAGCCACGCAGGCCGCCACTGGCCACAGGGCAGGTGGGTGCGAGGTGCCCAGGGCGAGTCCAAGTGCTGAGCATGGGCTGGACAGAGGACGGGGAACAGAGATCAGCAGGTGCTGAGCACATAGAGAAATTTGCCAGCCCTTCAGAGGGGTGGATAAATGGAAGGCAGGAAACTTACTCACATTGGAAGCCCCACACACAGTGAACAGAGCTTACGCTGTATCTCAGCTCAGTCTCCTCGCCCCGAAGGGGATCCCGTGGCCTCCAAGTGCCACCCAGGCACCCTCTCTAGCACCGGGCTCCTCCCTTGCTATTCCCCCTCCCCTTTCTCCCTGCCATATGAATGCTGTGGCTGCTGCGTAAACCCTAGGGGCAGCAGAGGAGGTTACAGCAGGCAGAACTGGGAGAGCTAATGAAGATCAGAACCACTTCTTAAGAATCAGCTGTTTGTTATTTAACAAAGGTGGGACTCAGGGTGAAGACCACTGCCCAGAACCAGACAGCTCCTGGAGACAAGCCTCTGGTGCTCCTCCTACACACAGGACTATTTCTACCTTCTCAGGTGGAAGGAGCTCTTTGTCCCCTAGACAGAGAGGGATGATTGGCAATGTGGGAAACTAGGGCTGGAGATGGGGGTAGGATGGTGGGATCAGGGAGGACCCTGCAGGCAGCACCCACCTGCCAGCCTGCCCCAGCCCCGCCCTCTGATTAAAGTCGTGTTGTCTCCTAAGTGTGGGTTTCTAGGTCCTTGGCCACAGTGGGGGGCAGGGGAGGCACAGGCTGCTTGGGCTCAGCAGGCTGGGTCCCTGCTATAGGCGGCTGGTAACTGTGGGGCTTCCTTGGCTTCACCGCAGATCCACTTTGGAATGACACGGTTCCCACCCCGCCACCTCTCCCCGCAAAACACTGACCGCTGACCAGGCAGCCAGAGCTGAGCCGATGATGGCCCCGCCTCAGCTGGTCCTGTTTGTGAAATAAATATGAGCGTTGCCAGTCTCTGGACCTCTTCCCTGCTCCCTGCCCGCCCGGCGAGGCTGCTCACACGCTGGTTTCTGGGGTGTGAACCACCTCCCCATTTTTCTCAGGCTGTTCCTTCAGGAAGTGCTCCACCTCCCTCGAGTCCACCCTCACACCCACAGGGGGCTTGTGGAGCTTCTCCTCTTCTGAAGCCACCTCCTCAGGCTGTGTCACCTCAGGCTTCTTCTTGATGCAGAAGAAGTTGCCCAGCAGCAGCACAAGGGAGGAGGTGAGCACCTCGGCCCCCGCCAGGATGAACACATACTTGTAAACTTTGGTTGCATCCAGAAGCTTGCCTGCAAAGAAGACTCAGGTTACTAGAAAATCCATCTCCTGGCATTGAGGAAATGCCTCACACACGCAGTCACCCTGTCTGACTTGAACTCCATCCCCAGCAGCATCTGCCCAGCCCTCTCCAGCCTCTTCCTCTTCGGCCTGCCTCCCCATGAGCGCAAAGGCTGAATCAAAAGGTTTGCAGTCATGGGGTTTACACCCCCCTCCCTTCCCAGTCATAGGCCCCTAGAAAGAAACACGGCTTAGCAAGACCCTATACACCTAGTAACATAGGACCCCAAGACCAGAGGCTTTAAGGGGATCAGAGAGGGCTATGGAGTAAGGGACCCAGGTCCAGGATGGCGAGGCCGCCTCTCCAGCCATCAATTTCAAAGGAGTGTTTTTCGGCTGACCTTCAGAAAGTAAAAGGACCAAAGTAACAAATCCTGCCCCAGTCCCTTGAAAGCTGCCCCTGTGTTGTACAGACTTCTGAAGAAGCTGCTAAACCCTGTGGGTAGATCTGTCAAGTTTGTCTGTCTTGGCTCAGAGCCAGCGCTTACTGCTGGTATCTGCTGGCTGAAGATCCTACCATTTCCAGTCTCCTAAAGCAGGGTATGAAAGGAAGGGGATGGGGGTAGATAGCCCCTCTTCAGAGAGGCCAGGCCTTGCCCTGTCCCCCTGTCCCCTGCCAGCCGCACTCACCTCCTGATGGGGGCCCAATGAGCACAGCCACAGCTTCCAACAGCAACACGAGACCGATGGCACTGGAGAACTTCTGAGTGCCCACGATAGCCATGAGCACCTCAAACTGCAGAGCCCCCACCATGCCATATGAGATGCCAAAGAAGATGCAAAAGACGACCAGGCCACCATAGTCCGTGGCTGTGGAGCCTGTCAGGTCGGTGAAGCCATTGAAGAACATGGCAAAGCTGAAGAGGTAGACAGAGTAGGGCCGAACCTTCTTGAGTCCTGTTATGAAACCAGCTGTGGGCCTGGCAAAGATGTCAATGAAGCCCAGGATGGTGAGAAGGAAGGCAGCCTTTGTGTCAGGCACACCCAGGTCCTTAGCGTAGCTCACCACAAACACTGGAGGCACAAAGAGCCCCAGCACCATGATGGAGGCAGCCACTGCATAGATGAGGAAGCCACGGTCTCGGAAGACACTCAAGTCCAAAAGGTGCTTTGACGGCCGCTGGGGTGCTTGGGCCCCGCTCCCTCCACTCGCCTGGGGTGACACCAGTGGCCTCATGAGCGCAGCACACACACAGCAGTTGAGCAGCAGGCCCCCCAGGATGAGGAAGCCACCCCGCCAGCCATAGTGGTCCTGCAACAGCTGCCCCAATGGGGACAGTGCACAAAGGAACACTGGACTGCCTGCTGCTGCCAGCCCGTTGGCTATAGGGCGCCTTTTGTTGAAGTATCGGTTGAGCATGATGAGGGAGGGCTGGAAGTTGAGAGCCAGACCCAAGCCTGTAAGAGAGGACAGCGTAAGACCTCAAGCCAGACTTCTAAGGAGGGCAGTGTGGGACGCCATGTGACCCAAGCCTGCAAAAAGGGTAGTGTGAGACTTTATACCCAGACTTCTAAAAGGGGCAGCATGAGACTCCCTCACCCAAGGTCTCCCGAGAACAGACAGTAGTGTGAGAAACCAGACCACCAAAGAGGGCAGCCTGAAACCTCAGACCCAACTCTCCAAGGATAGCAGAGTTAAACCCCAGGGCCAAGACTTGCAGGAAAGGCAGTGTTTAGACCCTGGGACTCAGATTTCCAAGCAAGGCAGCTTAGACCCCTGTGTCTCCCCAGACCTTCATCCATGCCCCAGCTTCCCTGGGCACAGGCTCCAGGAGTGCAGAGCCTCAGACGCTGGCCACTCATCCCAGCAGACTTACAGACGGGAGGGAAAGGTACAGCCAAGAAGCCCAACAGTACTCAGTTTTCCCCCCAAACTCAGACCAGATGAGATGAGCAGAAGGTCTACAGGTCATCGTCATCCTGTCCCTGAGTCCCCTGCCCCCACCCCCGACTCACCAGTGATGACTCCCGTGGTGAGGTAGATCTGGATAATGCTTCTGCAGAAGGATGCTGCCACCATTCCCAGGGAGGCAAAGAGGCCACCCACAAGCATGACAGGCCGGCATCCAAAGCGGTTCACACACACGCTGCAGAGCGGGCCTGCGTAGAGAAGGTGACTAAGGGAAGGGCCGTGCCTCCAGCTTGGCTCTGCCCCCTCCCTGCCCGCCAGAACATGTAAGAGCCTCAACTTATCAGGTGTGCTGAGCATTGGGGGCCAGGTCCTTAGTGCAAGGTGACTCATGGGCACTGGGCAGAGCCCAGCCCTTCACACGACCTAAGCAGGTCAACAGGCACCAACCCCTTTGAAGGAGCTGCTTGAGGAGCCTGACCACTGGGTGTGTCAACACAACCTACCCACTCAAGACAGGGACCAAGATACTTTTCCCTTCAGAGGCCCCATAGCTTTCTGGCATGATCACCCACTCAATCACTCCCATTGCTCTGTGCTCCCTTGGACACCCGTGAGCCCCACCTCACCTGTGCCATAGAGCATGGCCAGCAGGATGGAGGAGATCCAGGCCGTGTCACTGTAGCCAATCCCAAACTCATGCATGAGCTCCTTGAAAAAAACGCTGACCGCTTTGGGAAAGGCGTAGGAGAAACCCGTGATAATGAAACAGCCAAAGAGGACAGCCCAGCCCCAGCCCCCATCAGGGGCCTTGATGCCCGTGGGACCCTCGTCCACCACAGCTCCTCCCATAGCCAGGAGGGCTGGTTTCACTTTGTCCTGAAAGAAAAGAAACAGAGCTCACTCAGGTTGCCAGGGTGACCATATCAGCTGCAGCCCAGCAGGGGAGGGTGGGGACAGAAACACACACACACACACACACACACACACACACACACACACACGCACACACGCACGCACGCACGCACGCACGCACGCACGCACACCTGGAGAGTCCCAGAATTGGCACCTGGCCACTCCTATAGCAGCTCAGCCATGAGCAGCCTGCTGTCATTGGCTCAGGGCTCCTGCCCCTGGCTACCCCTTAACTGGTACTTTGGGGAGCTGTCTGTTCCCACATGACCTTTTAGGGCTCAACCAGGATTCACATGACCTCCTGTGAAGAACAGACCCCAGAAATCGGCCTGGCTGGTGTTTTCTGAACTGGTGCTGGGCAGAGGCTATGCCCTTTGGGGCACACTCTTTAGTCCCCACCAAATGTCTGGGGTGGGTGTCCAGGACCCTGCCCAGCTCTAAATCTAAATGAGGTCAGCCTTGCCCCTGAGGAGCTACGCTGCATTCTTTGCCCACTCTAGATTCCACGTTCTGGCTGACTGGGAGGATATGGGTCTGGAGCAGTGACAGATGAAGAAACACAAGCTATGGTATCTGAGGGGGGGCTTCCCACTTCCCCTGGGTAGAGCTTAGTAGTTGTAACTCATCCTAGAACCATCCATGACAGTGGCTTTTGGGAGAGGCTGAAGATCCTGATGGATTCTGGGAAGGACTGGGGGTTACAGAAAAAAAAAAAAAATCAGCCATGGCAACAGCTAGTAACCAATCTATGGGAACAGGGGCCGGTCTTCTATCCCCTAGCTGCTAAAGTAAGCAGGGAGGGTCTCAAACCCACACCCATCCACTGCTAACTTCCCTTCTCGTGAATTTCGGGGGCTTAGTTGATGCGAGACAGAGCAAGTCTGAAAGCTAGGACCAGTTTTCCATTTGGCTATTGACCCCACCGTTAGTATTCCCCAAATCCCAGAGGTCACTCAGCCTTATCCCCCATCTCACCAAGAATCGAGCTGCAGCAGGGGGCAGCCTCTGACCTGAGTATTCAGTCCAGTCTCCACAAATGCTGTGCTGCTGCCAAACAGTACTCTGCGGAGAAAATCAAGCCGTGATGCATAAGGGCGGCTGGCACTGGAATGTAAACCCCTGACCAGGAGAGCTTCCCACCTTGGCTGCTCACCCTGGCAAGGTTGGGCATGGGTCTCTAGATTCCAGCCCTGCCCCTTTGCTGGCTTCTTCCTGAGAACAGAATCCTGTGGTCGGGGCAGAGACATGCTAAACTAGACTGTTTCCTAAGAATCAGAAGCTCTGTGTCGTTCTACCCAGGTTTCCCTGAGGTTCAGAGACACAGCTCTGCTAGGATTGTACGCCAACCTTCGAAGGCTTCACCCTGCTTCCGACCACCTGGCCATGGCCCAGCCCAAGACCCTCCCCACTCAAACCCAAAGGAGACGTGTCATATGCCACAGTCAGGACATGCTCAGTGGGACCCCAAGTGCCAGGCACCTCTTATCCATTGTCCCAGAGTTTAAAAGGCCCTTGATTATTTTAAAAGGGAAACTAAAAACTGGAGTGGGGGAGTACATTTTAGGGATATACCATTTAGATAAGAAACCAAAAAGACAGAAAACTTGAAGATGACCCCAGTCCCAGAATTTAAGGTGTTGTCAAGGAGAATGGGAGGGGTAGGCCAACTGGGGTTCCTGCTTGTTCAGATTGTGGCTATACAGAAGTTTGATACCTTTTTTGTTTATTGGTGTGTGTGGGGACACTATCTCACCATGTATCCCTAGTTGGTCAGGAAAACTCTATGCATCCCAGGATGGCCTCAAACTCCCCTGCCTCCAACCCGTGAGGGCTGGGATTACTGGCACGCATCACCATGCCCAGTGTTCTGTTGCATTTTTTAAAATAAATCCAGGATGAGCAAGGTGTCTCAGTGCGTAAAGGCACTTGCCACTGAGGCTGACAGCCTGGGTTCAATCCCCATGACCTACACGATGGAAGAAGAGAACTGACTCCTACAGGTTGTCCTGACGTTTACAAGCAGTGACACGCGTGCACACATGTGCGGGCATGCACACACACAGGCCTGTGCCCCCACACCCCATGTTCACAAAAAGAAAAAAAAAGTAAAAAACAAAATAAAATCCAGTTTCGGTGCAAAGCAAAGAGGAGAGCGTGCCCAGAACCCACAGTGAGCATTAACCTAACTCTGGCTGGACCCCTGAGGTCCCCCACAGAGGATTAGCGCTCCCAGCCTGGGCTCCTGGGCTGTGTGAGGTATGCCCAGCACTTGTCAAGGTTACTAACAGTTACTCCAGTCTTTTGAAGTTTCTCCACCTTTGCTTGTTTATTAATAAACAAGCTTGCTGGAGCTCTCAGAGTCCAAGGAGGACAGAAATGGAGACATATTTACCAGCTGCAGATAAGGTGCCCTCTCAACTGGGGTCTTGGAGAGCAAGCAAGGTCAGAAGGGTACATGTTCTGGAACTTTTCAGGCTCATGGCTGCTGTGTAAGGCTAATAATACAGGAAGGGCCACCTTCAGTACCAAGGAGATGATGGCATCAAGACGGGAAGCTCTCGGCCAAGGCTCAGCACTAGCGATGTCCTTAACCAGCCTGACTACCCTAATGAAGCCTCACCAGTGTCCACCCCAGCCTGTCACCAGAGACCCTGCAGAGGGAGACTTCTCACAAAGATAGAATTTCCCAACCAGGGTGGAGTTTAAGCCTGCTGTTTAGCCTGCTTTTCGTCCCCAAGGCCTCAACACATCCTAGTAGAGTAAAAGGCTAGGATTCCCAGCCTGCCTTGGGGATGAGAGCCACCGGATAACAGCATGGATGGGCCAAAATGCAGGTCAATGCCCTAACTCTAGGGCTTCCCTGTCTACATCCACAGGGGCCCCACCCCTGACAGCACATCCACGGGGCACACCCTAGCCGCCTGGCCTTTCAGTGACATTTACCCTCCCAGGGAAGCATGCAAAGCAGCCCAGAAATAACTCAGCCTCCAGGTCACAGAAAACTGATCTGGGGGTGGGGGCTGGGTCAGGAAAGCCTCCAGAGTGCTCCCGAAAGCTAGTCCCTAGGCCTAACACCACTGGCTGTGGCCTATGGCGCGTGGAGGGGGGCCAGCACATGGGAGTCTCTTGTAGCATCCCTTTGCATCCAAGGGCAAAGGATTACCTGCCTGGAAAAGGTGCCCACGGTGGTCCAAGCCCTGAATTCTGTGTTCTGTTCAGGCGTCCCTTAAGTGCCGGTCATCAGAAGAGACCAGCCTTGGCCCTGCCTTTGTGGTCTCAAGTAGGCAGCAGGAACTAAGGCAACTACCTTCCTTGAGTTATATTTCAGATCCCCAAAAAGCAAGTAAGCAGCCAGTACCTCGGAAGCAAGGCAAGAGGTTGCTCAAAGGCCTGTTTCCAAGTTCGTTCGTTCCCTCCCTCCCTCCCCCTCTCCCTTCCTCCCTCCCTCCTTCCATGTGCCTTTCCTTTCTGGGCTCTCGGCCCTGAGCCCACCAGTGTGTAAAGGTATGCCATGGAAAAGCCCCTAGGGACCTTTTCTGGAGAGGCACCTATGGTGCAGCCGAGGTTGGGCCACAGGATTGCCTGACCCTCCACCCTATCTCTACCGGCCTGCCCAGCCTCCAGGGCACGCCTGGCACCGCTGCAAGTTGTCCTGTCAGCTCACATCAACTTTTCAGGGACCAGTAGGGTAGAAATACTGGTCTTGTTTGCCAGAATAGACACTGTTGCCCAAAGTCAACCACCACCCCACCTCAGGCCTGAGATCTCTGCGGGGCTGTCCTAGGATAGTTGGGCTCAGAGTCCCACATCTTGCGAAGAACCTTCAGTGCTTGACTGTCACAAAAATGGGGCAGCCCTAGGGACCCGTTCCATCTTGCTGTAGGAGCCCTTTTCTCTGCAAGGTTAGGGTTAGTGGGTGGGACCCTCTCTGAGCCACTTTCCAACAAAGTTCCACCTAGGCATGCTGGCCTTTGCACCGGCCACGCCTCCGCAAGACTGTCTTTGGGAACCCTCGATTCCGGAGCAGTCTTCCTAAAGCTAGAATCTAAGGCTAAAGGGAGGCTCAGGAGTTATAAGCGCCCCCCAGCTCCCATCACTGTCTGGCAAGGAGGTAGGTCTGGAGATGGCAGAAGCGTGGGTGGGGTGGGGCTTGGGTTAGCGGAGGCAACCGACCGGACCAGCCTCACGCCCAGCCGCGGGACTGGAGGTAAAGGTCCTGCAGACCTGGGCGGGGCTCAGTGGGTCGGGCTAGGGTCGGGAAGGGAAGGAAGCTCCGCCCGAGCGGCCTCGGGACGTGGGGGACGTGACCACACCAAGGGAGGAGCCGCGGCCGTATTGCCTGGAGTAGGCGGTCCTTCTCCGCTTCTACCGTACTTGCAGAGCGCGGCGCCACATGCCCTAAGGCGCCTACAGATTGACCCGCAGATTCGGTTTTTGAGGCGGGCCATTTCCCTTTGCCCTTCGCAGAAGCGAGCCGGGGCGCGCGGCCGAGTCTCTGGGATGCTGGCCGATAAACTGCGGGCCTCGCAGCTAATTCCTAAGTGCATCTGCCCTTCACGGCCCATTCCACTGATGGAAACTGAGGCCAGAGGCCTGCTCGCGCCACTAGGGCGGTCTCCATTCCTGTCCCACCCCTATGCCAGTGCCCAGTGCCAGGTGGACCAAGGCCTAGTCCAGAGGCGTCTCCAATTGCTTATTAGCACCACCATCCAGAAGGTCCGGCATGGAGCCCCAAGGTGCCCCCTGAATTTGGCCCCTCACCAGCACCACCACCCCCTCCCTGGCCAGTTAGTCAGAAATCCTGGCACACCGGCATACGGGAGTCCCACAAACTGGCCCCTTCCCTATCACTCCCGATGGCTCTTAGATCAACAAACAGGGCTTTCTCCTTGCTGCCCCTCCAAATTTAGGCTTCCAGACAGTGAGTATTAGATTGT